TAAAGATAACTGAATGACTTACTCTGAAAAAACAGTTCATAATGACAATGATATAAAAAAGGAACATAGTAATACCCATAAAAAAATGATGGTATTATGTATGGATCAGCACTACTACATAGGACAACAGTCCTGGGTATGATGATAAACTACATCTGGAGGTTGGAACCACCACTTAATTATTGTTGTTTCCAGGTCTACCCTAACCCATTGTGGTAGCACCTGTTAGGATCTCAGCTATGGGCAAATAGTGAACCCCCCAAACAAAAACAAAACACTATGAAATTATAAAAATATAGTTTTATAGTAAAATGACCAACAATACATTTTTAAAGCAAAATCACAAGCAATATATTTTATCTATAATTGAAGGCATACAATTGCATTCAAAATATATTTAGTTAAAGCCATAAAATTGTGTTCAAATAATTTAGATTTTGGCATTAAATAATTCAGAGGTGTTACTGTTAAACAAAATCAACCAAACCAAACCATTTACATAGGACAAGAAAGTGCTGTACCTAGAATCCAAAAAATGTCTCTTCTTGAAACTTCTGATGAAGATCAGGGTAGTATATGTGCATTCTGTGAAAATTGAATTGCTAAACACACAGAATATATGTGTATATGGATACATATTGTTTTAGATGTTGACTGGATGCTTAATTACGAAGTTGAGCTGTTATGTATTTATGATGATAACATATGACAAAATTTTAAAAGAAAAACAAGTTCGCAATAATGAATTTTTTTTTTTTTTTTTTTTTTACAAGAAAAAATACTTTCTTTATAATCATTTCATTCCAAGCAAGGCAATAATGCCACTAGGACACAGGGGGTTAAAGGTAGTGAAAGAGAATGAGAAGAGTTTGTCTATATTTCTGAGATGAAGTATTATGTACAGTATTTACATTAGTCGGACTATTGTCCTCATCTTTGTCGCCATATTTGTCACAATGTTTCCTCAAGGACACATGGCACAGTGGATAAAGGCGTTGGTTAGATCCAGTGACAGACCCAAAGAAGGTGAGTTCAATTCCTGGTTAAGGCAGTGGAGAACTTTCAGAGGGAAAATTAGCAGGAGATAACTGATAACTGACATCCATCAAACATGGCACGTGGAATTAGAACAGTCTACCCCAGCGATCAAAATAAAGGGTTCAGTTCGAAATTCCAACCACCTGAAGAAGGCCGGAGCGTACAACGGCCGAAACGTTGTGACAAATATGGCGACAAAGATGAGGACAATAGTCCGACTAATGTAAATACTGAGAATGAGAAGACTTTAGTGAGAAGTGAGGAAATGACAATAAAAGGAAGAGACTTCAGGAAGACAGAAAATGGTGATTGATGTTACATTTAAATTTTTGAAGATTGTAATTGACAGGGACACAAGAAATCAGAAGGGAGTTCCACAGGTGAGAAGTGTGAGAAAAGAGAATGTTAGAATAGAATATATGGCTGCATCTAGCTAGTTCAATAGTAAAAAAGTAATAGTAGTCTACTTAAATCTATGTAGTCAAGGTACTAAAGAAAAACTCATCAGAACAGTTGCCATGAAAATATTTGTAGAAAAGACAGAGGGAGGCCACATCGTGTCGGTGAGAAAGAGGCTGAAGTCAAGGTCAATATCAATTACATTACAGATCCTTCTTTGAAATTTGTTAAGAATCTTGAGATATACAGCAGGAGAACCAGACCAGATGTGGTAGCAGTATTCAATGCACAGACGAAAGGTAGATTTATAAATGTGCAAGATGGATTCTGATGAGAAAAATTTTCTGGCACAATTACACATCACTTATGATTTTACATTAAAAAGTTTCATTCTACAACCCTTTTTCTCCACAGACGAAACATTGTTAGCTTTTCAACTAATCTATCAGTATTTTCATGGCAAGTTACATTCCTTATTTCTACCAGTTCAAACTTTCACAGCTAGGACCCACTATGCCACCTACATCAAATCATCCTTATTACCTTTGTATTCCATATGTAACGAAGAAGTTCAAGTTTCTTCCGTAGAATTATGGAACAGACACTCGAGAATAACTCCCTAATCACTAGGATTCTAGTCTTTTCAAGTTTAGGGTCAACCATTATATATTCTTATGCACTTTTTACTTCCTCTTTTTTTTTTTTGGCCTTTATAGCAATGTCATTTAGTAATCTTCTACCTGGAGTGACTATTGTATCGAGTGAACAATAGCATAAAAAACAAAATAGTGAAGTAAAAAAGGATTTTTTAAGAGTTCATGTAGTTTTGTTTTGCCTTGTTTGAAGATAAAACATTTATTTTTTGGGGAAAATTTTTTCCTTTTGAATAAAAACAGGTTTTAAAGTGGGACCAAATTCAAAGTGGAATGGTTCTAGTGTGGGTTCAGATTACAATATGATTACAGTGCTAAATGTTCCATATGTATTGAATGTAAAAATCAAAACCTCGATTTTGTGCCCGTTTGCACAAATATGGCTGCGAAATAAAAACTATCGACAGTTATTTCCACTTTAAGAACTATCTTTAATTACGCATAAATTAGGGTACAGTTTTTTTGAGCAACATTTTAGACGAGCACAAAATCAGGTTCATTTTTGCATTAATCCACAAAAAATTAACAACTTAATATTTCTCAAAAATAAAAAAGATATTCGTATAAAAAAAGCATACAAGAAAAATGCATTTTTAATCCAAAAAAGAAAAAAAAAAGCCTTTTCTTAAACGCAGTGAAATAATTATTGTATGTAAAATTACTTTTTAACGAAAAAAAAAAAAATCATTCATTTGCTTTTTACTTAACTTTCCAAAAAAAAAAAAGTTATTGAGGTGTGCAAAACTTTTAATTTACATTATAAAAAATGAAATGTAAATTCATAGTCACAACAGTTTTACTTTTAGCAGCCCAAAATAAGCATATTTGTTTAGTTAGTACACGTACGTACGTTACGATGAATGTTTTTTATTATATATTTTTTTTTATTTAACTTTGTTTTTTCTACAATGTGAATATTTCATTTCGAAGTAAAATTGCTGAAAGATTAAATTTCACCTGTAATAAGATACAAAACAAAAAACGATTTAGTTTTTTATTTATTCAAATACGCACACAGCAACAAATGCGTGATTTCGCACCTGTTTCAAATTTCTCACATTGAAGACTCTACCAGCCTAAAAGTACCAAGTTTAAACAAATTTTGGAAACTGTTAATCTAAAAATGTCCATAACATTTCATTTATCGTCTTTATGTCAAAGTTTTCCCTAAAGTATAGATTTTACAAAACATGTGTATGGTGATTCATTCATTCAAATTAAAGCTGAACATTTAAAAAAAAAAACATTATGCACATAAAAATAACGCTATATGACCAGAAAAAGAAAGCAATATTGATAAAGCATAAATACCAGCTGATTATTATATTAATAAAATAAAAATAAGAACTTATTTACAAGTTTTTTTGAAAATTCCCATTGACATACCGAGGCCTTTTACAATATTCAACTAAAAAATCCATTCTCTGTTTTAGAGAATAACAATGACGGTGTCATTTATTTATTTTCTCTCATAAATAAGTGGCATCCCATAATCGTTTATTTCAAATGACTCCACTTCCTAATTAATATTTTATCATTTTTATGAAAATAAAAATTCAATGGGGTTTATTTTAGAAAGGACAGAACCGTATTGTTTGTTTTTTTTTAATTATTAGTTTAAGAAAACAAGACATTTTTAATAAAACAAAAAATTAATGAGTTTAAGAAAAACATTTAAAAAAAGGAATGGAACTATTTTTTTAATTAATAAAATAAAAAAAAACTAAAAATTTCAACTTCTATTTTGTTTGTCGTTTACGTTTATGAAAACTGAACTAAGTAACTGGAAAATTGAAAATAATTGTTTGTAGTTTGAGGGACGGGAATTTGTCACTCGATTACAAAAGCAGTTGACAAAATGTCCCTGGTCTCCACCAAGATTAAGACTGTAACTCTTTTTTGGGTGGAGGCTAATGCGTCCCCAAAAGTGGAAGTGCTGAGGAGAACTAGAGCAATGTTTTCGCGGTATTGCCATTATTATTAAAAAATTAAGCCCACTTTAAAAACTCAACCATGTGGCATTCGATAGCGATGTGGGTGCACTGAAAAATCCTATTCATGTCCCTAACTTCACAAGACTAAGAGAATAATAAAAAAAAAAGAAAAGATGTCCTTATTTTGATTTTGCTATGAATTTACTTCGGTCAAGTTAGAGGCCTTAAGTTTGTTAACGTGCTCATGATTTTTTACCTGACCTCCCCACTAAGACAGGATGGGACACAAGGTCTTTTTTATTTGGGGAGCCCTTACGCGTACACGGGATAAGGACAAAAATTGCCCAGTCTCCGCGACCACTGTCACGTTGGCATCGATCCCACATCTCTTAGTGCAATGAGGAAGGTCCTGCAGCAATGTCGGAATCATTGGGGTCAGGTGCCGTATCCCACCTAAAATGAGAACAAAAAATACTTCGCTTTAGTGAGTTTAAAGTAAATCCCAGCCTGATCATGATTTTTCACTAATCTTTTTATAACTGCTTAAGGAAGTGGTTGGGGATGCTTGGGGGCACTTTAACGTACACGTAATGGTCAGCAAGCTTATCTTCCTCGAGAACAATTACAACTGAGTAGTGAGTTCGATAGTGTGCCCCATTCTTATGGCCTTGTGCCACATCCAAGCTATGTTTATCACTTTGTTCTTAATTGCAAAAACTTAAAACTAAAAGTGAATATGCATAAAAAACACCAATTTTCTTCTGAAAATTATTTAAAAAAATAACGAGTGAAATTGAATGCAAGCAATCGATACGTGATGTAAGATTAAGTATTTTTATTAGTTCATTTTTTTCTTTGCGTTTTTTGACTGAAAATGTTCAATATTCAACAAATGAAATTTCCGCAAAAGACGATCGTATCCAAGGGAGACAACTTTAAATTGCCCCTTGTAGAGGGCGTTGTGATCGCTCAGCACATGTCTTACTTCAGGTCACGTCTTTTTAGCATTCCAGTATGTATATCCTTTAATAACGGTGTCTATTTGTTTTAAATAGAAATTAGAATATAAATAATTATTTCTAGTTTATTCTTATTGCATTAATCTTCAAGAAGCCATATTTTATTTTCAGGGTGATAGTGCGTTTGAAGACAGAGCAATTTATTTGTACTAGTATATTTTTGGCTTACGAAATCCAGCATGGCCCAGAGAGTATTTAATACTATTGGGAAGATCGGTCTCGGGCTGGTGGCAGCCGGTGGTATTGTTCAGTCAGCTTTATTCAACGGTAAGCTTATTTTCTTATGTTTGAGATCTTTTAAAATTTCTTTTTTTAAACTAAAGACGACCAACACGAGAACACATGCACGCCTTCCTGTAACAACGATGTCGAGGCGGCACGCACCCTTTCTCTTGTTTCTCCTTATGAAGGTCATATGAAATTGTCTAAGATTATGTTTGTTTGTATTAGTTTACCATTCTTAGACGACCAAGATTCTTCGATTTTTGAAAGTCTATATTATCTGTAACTTATTTTTGCATGTATGTGTATCGTATTTTAATGTAAATTTATTTTTGAATGTTTTTTTTTTGTTGTCACTTTCACGGTACCGGTTGGTTCACGTTCAATGTTTTTTTGTCATCTAGCTTTTTGATTATTCGCAAAATTAATGACTATTCACTAAAACTTAATTTACTTTTTCCGCTATATATTCTTTTATGATGGCATTTGATTTATTTTAATCTCCAACATGTCAAACTTTTTAGTTTGTATGCGGTTAAGGGAAATAAATTTTTATGAAATTAAAATACATTGCTTTGTTTTGAATTTGTCCGAATAAGCCATGCATTTTTTTCTTAGGAAATCTTTTTAATTTTATAAAAACAAAAAATAAGTTGACTGCTTATGTTCAATTTTACGAGTGAAATGTAAAAAGTAAAACTAGGCTCTGATTTCGTGTTCGTTTTCGCAAGATCTCTTACTGTTTTTTACTCTAGTCTAGTCTTTAAGGAGAAAAACGTTTTTTTTAAAATTGAATATAACCTTTATTCTACTCTAATTTTTTTTTTAATTAATTTAATATTTTAGTGTTTTTAATGTTTTTATCTCGATTAGATTTTTGTCTTTCTTTTACAGCCATACTTGCGTAGACGGACACAAAATCGGGGTTTGGTTTTATTTACATTCAATTTATGCGTTAAATCTGGACACCATCAGGGTCCAGTCTATTAATGTTTTAATTGAGTCTCCACTCTAGTATGTCACTCGATCACTTTTTTCTTTTTCTTTTTTTTTTAATTAGAAATTTCGGAAAGAAATGAATATTTCATTCGCATACAAAAAACAAACATTTCATTTAGAAAAAAAGCATTTTCATACAAAAAAAAGAATGAGCAATTATAATTTTATTTACAATATCAAATTAATATTCTCATCATTGTGGTTAATTATCATAACAAAGTGATACATAGCAAACTTGTAGGTATATTGCATTGTTTCACAACATTTTTGATGTGTCTGTCTATCCAAGTAGCCTTCAAGGAATTATGAATTGAATCATTTGTTGTGTTTTCCAAATATGAGGCCAGCCTTAACAGTACATGCCATAGGTACAAATATTTAGACAAACATGAAAAAAGTAAAGATAGCTAGAACTTGGAAGAACATAAATGATGGTTTTATTTTACAGAAAGAGTCCAAACAAAGTGTAGAAAAATGTGTTATATGCCTTCTCTCAGACTCTGAAAAGGAAAGCTAACAAGTATTACAAAAACTTTCATTACTCATAAATCCAGTTGTCTTGTTTGAAGAAGTTGTTTTTCCCATGTATCAGGGAGCATCTTTTCTTTCTATCCCAAAATTATTTGCTTTCCAGACTATGGCATCACTGTGGCTGTTATGGTTCACGTGAGTGTCCACACACAGTGCATACAAATTAGAGAAGAGGAAGGAAAGTTAACCCAACATTTATTTAATCTGTTGGATCCTGAAAGCATTTAAATATGACATATCCTGAAATATCTTGTAAGATTTTTACCTGAACAAAAAAAAATCTTGAGATTTGTGTGTGTATATATATATATATATATATAAATGAATTTTTAGATAAGCAAAATTGATCATTCACTCTCACTACACATCTATTTATTGCTATTTAATTTTTTTTTTCTATTCACCTAATTTTAAAATTTTGATGGCATTAAGAGCAAGAAAAAAAATTAACATCAATTTATTCCAACCATTTTCTTTTATAATTATTATGACTATGTTTTGCCTGTTTTATTATTAATCAAAGAATAATATTATGCAGAATCATTGTGGCAACAATTTAAAAAAAAAAAAATCAGAATAAAGATTGGGGTGACTTTAGTCGACCTTAGAATATGGTAATTGTGTTTCCTAACAAGTCTTGACCAATAAAAGAAAAGCTACTTTAGATGACAGGATTTCTTGGCTCTTTGTAGGTGAAGGTAGTTTTGGATACAAATTTGAAAGCCCCCTGGCAATTTTGACTTTGGACTTGCAAGATTGGTTTATTTGTTGCATGTTGTTTATTAGAGTAAATGACACTTCTCCATTTTGCTATGATCATATTTACCTCCCAGAAGAATGTGCAATATTATCACTCCTGACTCACTTTCTCACTGCTCTAATGTAGATTTCCTGTGTCTTTTCTATAAATATTTTAATGGAAATTGTTTTGATGAGCTTTCTTCTTTGCTACCTTGACTTTACCAATTTTAGTGCTGTACTAGATTGGCAAGTAGGTCTCATCATTTTACAGTTGAAATGGCTAGATTTAACCAAAAGTTCTATGTTTCTTGCTTTCCAGTTAACTTTGATATTGCATTTAAATCAATTTAGATCAATCCTCATCCTCTGTCTCTTTGAATCCTGTTCCTTTCTTGTCCCCTCTTCTTCATGTTTGTTTTGTGTGTTGTCATTTTGTGTGTGTGTGTGTGTGTTTTTTTTTTTTTTTTTTTTTTTTGTTCACTCTTTCACTTCTTGTATCTTAGTGGCTTTATTGCCTTGCTTGGGGAAATGATGAAAAAAAATGCTTAAAACATTACTAATGTTAATACTTTTTAAAATCCTAGTTAGTTATTTTTCAAGATATTTTATTTTTCAAAAGTAGTGAAAGCAGGTATAGATTCTAATAAACTTTGAAATGTTTCTCTTAACTGGCATTAGCAGGTGAGAATGTACATCACTGATTATTTGGTATTTAACAGTCTGGAACCTTTTTAATCTGAATAAAACTGCAAACAGCCATTTGTCCAGAAGATACTTGCAACATTGATTAACTCGTTGATTATTTTTGTTCTATATAAAAAAAGCAGAAATAGAAAATCTTTACTGTAAGTGATTTTAAGACAAATAAACATTAGGAAAACTACAAAAGTTAAGTCTGTGTTTGATCGTGTGTTGCTTTGTGAGATGAACATTGTGTATAACACAATCCCCTTCTTGACTCCCTTATAAACTGATGCTGTTACTGGGGCATTGCACACTTCCAGTTGATCTTCTTCACTACATTGTGTTAATGTTTTTGAACTGAGGACATCTTTAGCAAAGCTGGTTGAAACACTCCTAGCAGCAAAGAGGGTGAGTTGCAAGAAAAAGAAAGGAAGTAACTTTCAGAATAGACAACATACTCTTGTTTGTTGAAACAATAACATAATTTATTTGTCAATTGTCCTAATTTTGAGGTGCTGTTATCTACCTAACTATGGCTAGGTTATGAGTTAGCCTTTTATTCACATTACATTGCAAAAAAAAAAAACACTATCATGGACAATTGATGTAGTAATTGGCTCAGAAATTTGGTCTTGGGCCTGCAGTGAATGTTGATTGCCAAAACCTGGTCTCTAAGACTTTTACTTGAATGTCGGTCTGAAAATGAAAACTTCTTAGACTGGAAAAAATTTCTTCAATTGACAATTTTTGGCAATATCTTGCAAGGGGTGATGGAGTAGGTAGTGTTGTCAACTGTTCTGCTACATGATCTGCTAGTGTGCCTGCCATCTACTCTCTGTATTTATAGGGAAATGTGTTTCTTTCGGGTGTTGGGTTACTTTGCATATGAACATAGTAACAGGATCAGGGAAGGGTCCAGTGTCTTCCAATTGTAATAGTTAAAAACCTGACTGCCCACATAATTCCAGGTGCTAATTCAATTTATTGTAATTAATTGCTTTTTGTTTCAAGAGCCCACTAAAAAAAAAAAAACCCTTCCATCCAAATTACCTAGCTTGGCTATCTAGGTATTTGATATCAACTTCTCAAGTTAATTCCCAATCCAACCAGCCACTAGATATCTGTTCACTTACTGGTAACATCCACAGCAGTAAGTCTGTTACAAGTTGGTCAGCAGTGTGTCATTAGATTACTAGCAAAGTACCCATAAAGAACTGTAATTTACTTCTCCATAGAATCAAACTAATTTCTATGGTCTGGGGAAAGTTGGACAAATATGGATACATGTTGTGTTATATCAATTATTACATTACTGCTCTTCTGACAAAATGGATAATCTGGCACAGTTTCAGGAACTGTATTTGTTGGAAATTCAGTATTGTGCTCTGTATTAACAGAAAGCAAAATTTTCTGTCAGCTCAACACATTTAAATTTTTTTTTTTTTTTTTTAAGGCTAACTTAAGAATTTAAGTTCTATGCTAACTGAAGATTAGAAGAAAAATAGTTTTAAGTTTTAGTAGAATTTAAAGTGGATTTTTTTCTTTTCTTTTTTTTTTTTTTTTTAGTGGTTTATAGTTTATTTTTACTAATATTTTTTCTTATTACAATTTGCTGTTTATGTAACTCCTAATGTAACACCAGTTGAATTTATTAGGCTGATTAAAAGGTTTACTTTATTAAATAGAAATGGCTGTTTTTTTTTTTTGTTTTTTACATGTTTTTGAGTAGTTGGCATTTTGTTTTGTTCCATTATTTTCTGCCATTGTTCAGGCAACTTCATAATTCTATCCTCTTAGAACTTTGTTATAACAAATAACTATTGTAGGTATTTTTTTGCAGTTTTCCTTGCATTTTTTCTCCCCCACTAAAAAAAAATTCTTTAAAGACAAGAATAAATGTTAATCCAAAAAATCTAGAAGGAACTTTCTTTCCAATCTTACCTTTATTCTCCTTTTTTGGTGGGTGGGGGTTACAGTTTTAGGTCATTTCACTTGCCCAACAATCTTTCCTTGTCAGTTTACCCATTTTTCATCTTTTTTATTTTAAAAACAAATGTTTTAGTAATTAGCAGGCAGTTTACTGGGTCTTTCCCCATTTATGTATAAGCAACTCCTTAAAGTGATTAATATAACCGACCTGCTAAAGAAGTGATTTCAACACTTCATATGTAAATTTTATGTTAGCAACCTTTTTTTTTTTTTTAGCAAGAAAAATCCTATACAAAACTTTTCAAACCATTTTTGGCTTTTAATCATTCCTGCTCTTTTGCATAAATTTCCCAAAAACTTCACAATTTTTTCTATTTATGTCTATTTAATTTTTATATTCAATATGAAAAACGAACAACTAGGTCACTTTGACAGAATTATTTTTTAACAAGCTACATGCTGGCATGGCACTTGTCACAATACAAAGAAAAGGTGGTTTTAATTTTATATATATATATATATATATATATATATATATATATAGGAGGCACAGTGGAGTAATGGATAGTGGCTTGGATTGAGTAATCAAAGAGCAAATTCCAGTCGAATCCATTACATTCACTTATGTGCTAATACCCTTGGGAAAGGTGTGAATCCTATTCTTCCCTCTCTAGCTATCGGTAAATAGCAGGACAGACTGGGTTCTTTAGCCTTGGATGGCAACTGGTCTAGGAGAAGGACAACTCTGAATTCAAAACCTGCTGAGGGTCATTTGGGGACTCTGTGGCACGTAGTGCACCAGGTCTCTGTATTCGGCCCTTCAAAAAGTGTGGATGGTCCTGCACGAAACCTTCATCACTATAATCAAAACTCATGTGCTGCTGTCGGTTTCCTAGGAACTGATCTGCTTGAATCTCATACATCGAATTCGATGGGTGAGTCAAGTAATATATATATATATATATATATATATATATATATATATATATATATATATATGAGATTAAAACTAAATGTGCTTAACAACAATGAAATTTTGGGCTCACCCAATACAATAATTTGTTACTGTATGCATTCATATATTTCTTTGCTAAGCTATATGTAAAATTTTGTTTGCTTTAAAAATAGCTAAAGTTAAACATAGTGTCATTATCATGAAAGAATCTACTTCAGGTATCAATTTGAAGATTTGTAGAAGATTCTAGTAGATTAGCATCAATCTGCTTTTTAACAGAACTAATAAAACTATTCAGTGGGCAAATGTTGATCTTGATTACTTAAGATTTTAATAACATTCAATATTTGGTAAAAAATTTTTTTTTTTTTCCTCTTCCTCAGTTGATGGTGGTCACCAGGCTGTGATATTTGACAGATTCCGTGGTGTACAAGAACATGTGATTGGTGAGGGAACACATTTTCTTATTCCATGGATACAAAGACCTATTATTTTTGACTGCAGATCACGACCTCGTAACATACCTGTCATCACAGGTAGCAAAGGTAAGCAAAATTTTACATTTTTTTTTTTTTTTTTTTGCCTTCTAGGAAATTTACATTAGTTCAGAAATAAACATTTGAAAATAAATCTGTTAAAGGAATAATATAAATTTGTAGAGATTAGTTCTATCTAGTTTTGTTGAAAAGAGTTTACAAGGAATTTTGAGATCAATATTGTAGTTTATAATCATACACAATGAATTTAAAGTAAGTGCAAATTAAAAAAAAATCCTGTTAAGTAGAAGGAAAGTTCTTAACTCAATTTTTTAAATTAATCTGTAAAAAGATAAAAAGATGGCATGTGCTGTTAACATTTGTCAATATATGTAAGTCATGTCACTCGTTATGATAGATTTTTAATGTTGGGAATATACTTTTTTTGCGGGTAGTGTTGTTTTTGGTCATCCATACTTCAGCTGCTACTACCACTCATAAAGTGGCCTTTTCATATGGTAAGGATATATATATATATATATATATATATATATAAAAGCAGGGTATAAGAGGGAAAGTCAAAAATTATCTGTACTCTTGTCTAAGATATGTTATGACACAAAGTGCAGATAATTTTTGCCTTACTCTTGTATATTCATTCAAACATTTTATTGAAATTGATTGACAAATTCCCTCTGGTTACATTTTATTAGTTAAGTATTATGTCACATCCAGATTTATAAAACGACTGAAGTTCATAATTTTGTTTGAGGACTTCCAATGATTATCACTCATTTATTAACGATGCTTAAAAAGTATTAAAACTGTTAACATTGATTGATTTCAATAAAACATGCAAGAATTAATTCTTACTCAGTATGTGTGTCATACATATCACATACAAGGGATGCTGAAAAGTTCTGACCTATTTTCTAATATTTTAACAATTTTTTTTTTTTTTTTTTTTTTTTAAAGTAATCTATTTTTGGTCAGGTCTAGAACTTTTCAACACCTTGTTGTATAACTAATTCCATATTTATACAGCTTATTTGTCTATACTAGAGCACCTACTTTTGAAATGCACTGGAATACCACCTGCAAAATATGCATTTCATATACATGCCCTGTTTTATTGCATATGTTTTTTGTATTAGCTTTGACTTGAAGAGCAGCTGTTTGAAAGAAATACTTTACATATAAGTTTCTGAAAATTATTTTAAAGATTACATTTAAATATTTCAAACGGATTTTATTTTTAATGACACTAAAGCTTGTTCATTCTTCTGTCAAACAGGATCTGATTTATAGATATACAATATGAAAAGATCTTTAAAGACGGGTAATTTGGAATATCTGTTAAAAGAAAAATCAATTCACTTTCCAATTCATATTGTGACTTTGTGTTTACTCAATAATTTACCAATTCTTTTCCCTCCAAATTATTCCTTATTTATTTTTAGATCTCCAAAATGTCAATATCACATTGAGAATTCTTTTCCGGCCACAAATTCCACATTTACCAAAAATTTTCACCAACTTAGGATTGGATTATGATGAGAGAGTCCTGCCATCAATTACAACTGAGGTTCTTAAAGCAATTGTGGTGGGTTATTTTGTTCATGATTTTATTATTTGGTGTTACATCTATCATCTTTGGCATATAATTCTGTTATTAAATAATGACATTACTCAAATTTAGAAATAATCTATTTTTAAAAATATTAAGTAGATTGTAGAAAAACTAATAAATATTTGTTGAGATACGAATCCACTTGAAATACTGAATCTTTGGCAAATATTTAGATTAAATTATTGAAATTATTATAGTCGCATATTTAATTAAAGGATGAAAAAAAATTAATAAGAAATAAAGCTGCTTTGCATTTGCTCATAATTGTAAACTTGTCCTCAATGAGGTACCTTATAGCTTCTAAGTTTGGTTCTTGTGACTACTGGCGGCTCTGTAATAGTGTCTTAAATAAGAGTAAGTCTTCTATCCCTCCTCTCTTCCATCAATTTGAGGTGTTAACATTTAGTAATAAAGCAGAATGTTTTGCTCTTAAATTCACTTCCAATTCTACTTTTGACTCATCTGGAGTATCATTGCCTGACTTATTACTTAGAATAGAATCTCTGTTGTATGATATACACATAACTCCATCGATGGTTTCTGCTATCATCTCTAAACTGGAACCCCAAAAAGCATGTGGACTTGTTATAGTCCTTAGGAAATATGCTCCTGAACTGGCTCCTGTTCTCTCTAAACTCTACAATAAATGCCTTAATGCTTTTTAGCTATCTCTTTGGCAAGATACTAGAGGCTCTAATCAACTCTGAATCGATTAAGCATCTCACCTCACAATGTCTTCCTTCAAATAAGCAATATGGCTTTCACTGTCTTATCATTATGTGGGAGGTGTTTCTGCCACGCACTGTTATAAATGTGAAAATAATTTCTCCTTTATTTGTGCAGTCTGTTCCCAAAATGTGTCTAATAAGTAAATAATTGTACAAATGACATGCCCATGTACGATTGTTTTTATGCTGTCATTGTGATATGACCCATTTTACACAGGGTCAACAATAATGAAGCTCCCCATGAACAAAGTCCCCCCCCCACACACACACACACACCTATGTAGGAAAAACCCTCAATGAATGTTCTCAGTTCATGGTTCTGTAACTATTAAATATTAGACATTTTATTAGAATGAAAAAATATGTATACACTATGTATATCATTATGTGAATTCTTTAGCGTAATTACACAGCTGAAATATTCCTTTTGAAATTTTTACATTAAAAGTATTGGCAGATTTAAATCTGTTAGATCTAATCCTCTTTTAAATCCTTTCAGGCCCAATTTGATGCTAGTGAACTGATTACCAACCGTGAAGTTGTCTCTCAGAGAGTGTCTGAAGAACTCACGGAACGTGCTGCTACATTTGGTTTGGTGTTGGATGACATCTCATTGGTCAGTTTGTTGTTGTTGTTTGTTTTTTTTTTTTTTTTTTTTTTTTTTTTTTTTTTTTTAGATGTAAATCATTACTTTTGGTAATATTAACATATTTGCATTATCACCAGTTTTTAAACATTGAGATTATCAAAATGTCGTCAAATTCCTGATTTTTGTAATATTACTGATCAGCTTCCACTTCATTTTGCAAATATTTAGTTAAGTTTTGATTGAAGTAAATTTATGGTCTGAAGCAGTTTTTGTTTTCTATTTATTTAAACAAAATTTAAGGTCTAAGTAACCATCATAACTTAGAATTTGGCAACCATTTACCTTTTAATCCTCTGCATTATAAATGATGTACTCACAAATGCTATTTTATCATTTGTGGATTTAATAAAAATGTTTTATCGTGCCAAAAATTAGAATTTTTACTTTATATAAACAAGTTCATTCAATTTACAAATTGAAACTGTAATTAATGTTAATTTTTCATATTTTGTAGACTCACTTAACGTTTGGAAAAGAATTTACAGAAGCTGTTGAGTTGAAACAAGTTGCCCAACAAGATGCTGAAAAAGCCAGATATTTAGTAGAAAAAGTAAATATATTTTTTCTTTTTCCTCTTTTTATTTTCTAAGATAATGGAAATTGATATGTATTTAAATGCTTGTGTCAATTAATATTCAATGGTATAGAATCTTTTTTTTTTTTTTTTTTTTTTTTTTTTTTTTTAAAAGCCTTAAAAAATATTAGTGGAAGAAATGAAATAAAATATCTTTACTCTTGTCACGATGATGATGATGGAAATTCTGTAGTTCATTTAAGTGATAATTTATTCTGGAAGTAAATTAGTGAGAGTTCTTTATAAAATAGACCACCATACTTACAAATGGATGCAATTCAGTCTAGAGCAGTCAATATGAATTTGTGTCGCTGTGCATCAAGCTTAACTGTCAAGTCATCAATGTGATTAAAATAAGTTTTTTTTTTTTTTTTTTTTTTTAGATAAAAAAAAAATTGCCATTTTACTTATTTATTTTTGGTGGGTAAATCGAGTAGATTGTATTGATGTTACAATTTTTTTTTAATCGAATTGTTTACAATATTAATCGGGTAGCAGTCATGATTTTTGCTGATTCAAGAGAAAATTTTTACTTTGTAGTCATTTAATTTAATCTTTATTAATTGTGTGTTCTTTTTTTTTTTTTTTTCTGAGAGATGCCAATTTGGGCTCTTATATTTCTTATGAAAGTACGAAAGAACTCACTTTTCCATTTTCAATCATATTTTTCAGCATGATACAAGATTTTTTTTTTTTTTTTTTTTTTTAGACTCTTTGTGTAACATATGTATGTATAGGTTTGTTTGTAGTGATATTAAAGAAAAAAAATAACTGGTTCTACATTTAAATTTTGTGATATTTCTAATAAAACTCTAGCATGTTAAAATTAGTTTGTTCATTCTAAAAAAAAGTATACATGTGAGCTCTGATAAGTTCACTAAATTTCTCAAACATCTGCCTCCAAACTCAGGAGATTAGTCATTTGAACATTTGATTATATTTGGTCAACTATTTTCTATCAATTTCCTTAAATTGGGAAAAATCTGATTTTTTTCCCTACTCAAAATCTTGAAAAGATGTAGGCATTAAAAACAATGCAGTGAGTCCCCTGTACTTGCAGGAGTTAGGGACCAGAACCAGCCACGAATAGTTATACTTGTAACCCCACCCCCACTATCAAAGTGCTCATAAGTATCTATTTTGATTATTAAAACCCCATATACCTTAAATTTTCATCCTAAACACTTTAGAAACATTTTTAAAAAATAGTATTGGTGACCATACACTTAGCATAAATTTTCTTTCAGATGTACAATAACCGTTTTTAATTATGCATACATCGATACAACCATTGAAAATACTGTATAAAATGTGTAACAAGACATAAAATATAAAGCTTAAAACATTTTCTAAAAACAGAACTGTGATGATGACCCCAGACTTTAGCGTAAGGCACTTTTTAAGACTGCAGCCCCTAACAAAGCCCAAGCACTATGCATGTTTTTGAGTTTCTTATTTTTATTTTACAATGAAGAGGTACAATTCTGCCAATTTTTAGTATAAAAATGGACTATGTTTTAAGCTACTTAAATAACAGGAAAATAAAATAAGAATATTTTAAATATGTTCTATCAAAAATATATGCGAATCGAGGGAGTTCTTGGCGAATAATTTGCACATATGTTCTTCATATGTGAATATTCAGGGTTTCCATGACTAACAAGTACATATATTCTAAAGAAAAATCAGTGAATAGGTGGGAGGCTCACTATATTTTGGACGAGGATTAGTTGTATTAAGATAAAATATGTCTTGTTTGAACTTGGAAATTTTGTTTTGCTATCAGTAAAAAGGGATGTTTCTTTTCTAGGCTGAACAAATCCGTAAAGCAGCTGTAACAACTGCGGAAGGAGACAGCAAGGCTGCCGAGTTATTGTCAAAAGCTTTTGTTGATGCTGGTGAGGGTTTGATTGAATTGAGAAAATTGGAGGCTGCTGAAGACATTGCTCAACAACTTGCTCGCTCCCGCAACGTACTCTATTTGCCCAAGGGACAACAGACCCTACTCAATCTCCCCACGGCATAGGTATACAATTATAATCTCCAGCAATGCCCATCTGTAGATAGATAAACTATGTTTGAACTGATTATTGAAATACAAATAAGTGGTCAAATTGAGCAGAAAGAATGGAAACGTTTCTAAAAGCATTTTACAGAAATTATGCAATAAATTTCAAGGTTCCTGCTATTATGGAAAGTTAGTTATTTGAATTCTCCACTCTTAAAATTGAACCTTCCATTATTTCTAATGACAGATTATCAACAATAATCAGCTTGAATGACAGGTATCATCAAACTGCAGAAGTTATTTTTCTTGTTTTGTTTTTGTAAAGGTAACATTACAATATACAAACACAGAAAATAAAGAACGTTTCTCAACATTTGCAACATTAACAGAATTATGTAACAAATGGTGAGTTTTAATTTATGAATCAATCCAATATCTTTATTTTGATGACTGTTATGAAGCTCTGTTCTAAACAAATTTCTTACAGCAAAAGAGGTGAAATCAAATAACAAATTTTCAAATTCCATTCATGTTTGAACACCTATTCAATAAAGCCTTACAATAAATTGCCAATATTAACATTGTTGTACTCTTATTTTCAATATGAATCAAATTTGTAAGCCATCTTTAATTGGGGATGGACACTATTTCATCTGTTGAAGGATTTTTTTTTTTTTTTTGCTTTCATAGACTCCACTTCACCCCATCAAATTCTAAAATCAAGAGTCATTTTGAATCTTGATACTTCCATCAATTTAATATCCAATCTTGCAGTAGCTTCAATAAATCCAGTTGCAAATGATTGTCTATTATACCAAATATAATATTTAAAATAAATAAATACATATAGTAAAAATAAAATTTTAGTTGTATCTATTTCTAATACCGACAGAGATCTTGACAAGCCATGAAAAAATGGTATTGTGGTAGTTCCATTAACAAAATAGTTATTCAAAGTTCATAAAAAACTTTTCTCATGTACTATTGAACAAAAAGTAAATTTTAACCCTGTATAACTGAAGATGCAGGTTTCAAACAAGTTAAAAATAATTACAAATGTAATGTCATATAGGTAGTCTTAAGGAAGAGAAAGATGAAGCTACTTTTTTTTCTTTCTTTTTTTTTTTTTCCAGCAGTACCTCCAATAAGAAATTTATATTTACACCATAAAAATATCCAGAAACACAATTTGGCAAGTAGAGCTAAAGTATATGATAGTGAACTTGCTATTAAAAAAAAAATGTATCCATTGGAGGTATACATCTGAAACTTTGAAACATTACAAATTTGGGGATGAGAGATTCAACAAAACAACTCTTTCACTGTAATATCAATACCTTTTGTTTATATATACATACATATTATTTTGGAAAATTTTATGAAATTATGTAATTTTTCAGCTCCTCCAAAATGGGACAATAAGGACTACAAAACTTAATTTGTTTTATCAAAGGAAAAATACAGTAATAGTGCTTTAAATTGATAAGACTTTCTAGACATTGTGTAATGGCTCCCCTCATGGTGATTTACCAACTAAATTTCCTTATTAGTCTCTGACATGGCTAATACTTCTGGAACACTTGATATCAAGTCATCACTTGAAACTGGCCTTACATCAAAGTCCCATCTGAAGACAAATATTGACTCCACTTGTGCAATATCATCTGACAAAGCCTTCAGAAATAATTATTTCTGCTGGAGCTAAAACTTTGATGGCACAATGTAACACGGTAAGACACTGAAAGCTATACTGAGAAATGAAGCAAGATTTTGTTAAATTCAGAAAGTTTATTTTTCTTGCATGTATAAACCCTAAAGATAGCAGTAGAGCTGGCTTGAAGTATTAATGGCACTATAATTTTGAGGAACTTAGCCAAAAAGGCAATCTGGATAATTTAAACCCATGAGGGTGGGAAGAGATGGTGTAAGAGCATTCAAAGTTGGCTGGGAACTTTGTTCAACAGGGCAGATGACCACTTGCTAAGGTGCTGGTTATGGAAAGGCTCCTGATAACCACAGGCATAAAAGGGAATCGATTGAGAGAGAATATTTTTAAGGTTTTGAGAAACGAAGGCAAAGTTAAGAGAATTGATTTATTTACCTTAGGGTGGAAGCATAGATTGCTAAAGAAATGGGATTTCTTTAGATAGGAGCTGAACTGAGTAACCGAGTGTCACGGGTTGAAACTTGCAAAGAAAGATACCAGGGGGACACTAGAAGAATGGGATTTGGGTCAAGGAATTGTTGACAAAAATTTTGAGCAATAATTAAAATTTATTTGGAACTAATCCCTGCCTGTTCACCTACACAGTCTAAAAAATGAGTTTGTCAAAATGACAAGCGAAGTGAAGGACTCAGGTGAAATACTGAGGGAGTCGAAGGAATTGCCTACACCTCTTGGGTAGTAGTGGTATGAGGTACCAACATGAGAAGGAAGGAGTTAAGGTAGATCAATATTCTGCTACCACTACTCTTAGGAGGAGGGATATCCCCAAAATTGGGCATGCAGTTTTCCAGAGTCAGACAACAAAAGACTCTTTGTGGGGGTTAGGGAAATCACTGAAACTGTCGGACTCCACACTGGTTTTGGGCGAGTGTCCATATAAGCAGAAGATTGAAGTGACCAAGACAGTAGCCGCTTGAAGTGCTGTTGGAAACAAGGGACAACTGATTTGATTTCACATAATTTGTTGCCTGAAGAAACAGATTCCAGAATATATAAAGTGGGAAGGGATGATAATTTTGCATGAAGCTTATATATTCTTGCCTGAAAAATTGATAATTTTAATATCAACTCTGTACAAAGTACATTATATAAAAACAATTTTTTTTTATTCAAATTATTTTTTTTTTTTTTTTTTCACTTGTGACTTCACTCTGCCCGGACCAAACCAATACAATTCCTGTCGCCTCTGGGACAAAGCAGGGCTTGAGTCAAAGTGATCAATTCATCAATCAGCTGTGGGGACTGGACATCAGATGGACTGGCAAAGGAGGAGGAGATGCAATATCAATGACTTGGCCAATGTAAAAGTTAGTCATAATATACTGGAACCCATTGGCCTTAGGACTCCTCACTGAATGTCAGCTGAGGTGGTTCTTCATTACAATTGCTAGAGTTGTTTAAATACTCAGAAACACTGAGTGATTTTTCTTCTGTCTTAGAGGTGGAGATGAATCAACTGATTTTGCTGTCATCAAGTAGTTGCAAAGAGCAGCTTTCAGCTGAGATTTACTTCCTCTCGTGTTGATCTTGATACTTAAGAGAACCTTTAAATATCAAAGTTGATCTTTCTGGGTTTCCAAATCACTGATCATACATTTTTTTAATAGACTTCACAGGACCACCATGCTTGATGACTGAGTTAATGATTCTCTATTTCTGAGTAGCAGCCTGACACTTTTTTTTCCTTCTTGTTTCATTTTTGAAAATCAGTTTGAATTTATTTTAAAAGTAATTAAATAATTGCTGTATACAGTTTTAAAATGCATCATTAAAGAAAATATAAGAAAAAATATTTAAACTGCATGCAATATCCATTGGTAAAAGAAGTGATTTAAAATGGGAGTCAGCTGGCAATATTCATTCACTGTCAGCAATGCAAATTTTGATGTCAGACCTGACTGTTTTATACAAAATGAATGCAGTATGAACCTTTTTTGATTTGCATGTACCTCAAGTTGTGTGGGGAGAGATACGAAACCAACTGATTATTAAAGATGAGACATTGGTATACATGGAGGTGTAAATTTAATGTTTTAAGTGTTGAATTTCTCTAGTATTTCATCCACTAAAGTTTTCAATGAAATGTTTTTGTGAAAGAAAATTTCAAATCTTATGATTTGCCCATGAAATTGATGAGCATGTAAACAATTTGATTTCTCACACATCGATAAGGAGATAAAAAGAAGGAATTTAAGTCCACTCAGCTATTTGAATTTTGTCTCCAGTCCATCTTGAGTAATCTTAGGGGTTAGTGTTTCAGGATTTATGTCTCCAGTTTACCTTTGAATTGGGAAACAAATTTTATAAATGATTTTAGTCATAAAAGTAGTCCTTTGAAAATTTGACCACCCATGTGGCTTTGAGGTGGTCCCAAATCTCCCAGAAAGACAAGTAGGTTGAAGTGGGTGAGACCCCAGGATTATCCATATAAGCAGAGAGAGGCAAGAAATCGAGAGGAAAGTGGGTCCAGCTGTGAGAGAAGTAGATAGGTGACCAGAGCAGTTGGAACTGCCCAGCAGCCAGTGACAAAGACCAGTAGTGAGGAATCAGGAGTCACCGAGGCCAGTGAAGTTAGGAAGATAGCAGCCCACCTCTCAAAGCTGAAGGAAAGATCTCACATTTAAATGAGAAATCGTATTGTTGGGTGTATCTGAAAATACACTCAAATTTGGATGTCATCACAGGTGTAACCGACGAATGATTGGAGAATGTTGTCACAAAACTAGTCAGACATGAAATAAAAACTCATCACACATGAAAAAGAATTATATCTAGAAAGAGAAAAGATTATATTTTGTTTACATACTAATTTTATCAAAAGAGCCTAAAAATAAATGATATCAACAGTTGAAATGGAAGGAAATTACACTGTTTTGACACTTGTTCACACAGTAAACTAGGGCAGTTTAGGATATATTTCTTTTTTTGTACATTCTTTACATTATTCGGACTATTGTCCTCATCTTTGTCGCCATATTTATTACGTTTCAGCCTTCTTCAGGTGGGTCTTTTTTTGTGATGAAAGGTAAACTACTTTTTAAGATTTTGCAACTATAGTATTATCACAGACAATGGTCAGCAACTGGAGACAGTGAAACAATTCAAATACCTTGGTGCAATAATCAGCCAAGATGGATACAAGACAGAAGTCAATGTGAGAATTGTGTTGACAACAATTGTGATGGCATGGTTGAAACTGATCTGGAATGATAAAAAGGTCACCCACAAAAATAAACTGAGATTGTTACATGCCCTCATCTTTTTGGTTCTCTTGTATGTATGCAGATCATAGATTCTAAAAGCAGGACTCCAAAGGTGAACCGAAGTTGCAGGAAGAAGATACTTTAGATGTCTGCTTGATATTTCCTATACCAACTGTGTCACAAATGAAAAGGTACAGTATTTACATTAGTCGGACTATTGTACTCATCTTTGTCGCCATATTTGTCACAACGTTTCGGCCATTGTACGCTCCGGCCTTCTTCAGGTGGTTGGAATTTCGAACTGAACCCTTTATTTCAATCACTGGGGTAGACTGTTCTAGTTCCACGTGCCATGTTTGATGGATGTCAGTTATCAGTTATCTCCTGCTAATTTTCCCTCTGAAAGTTATCCACTGCCTTAACCAGATATTGAACTCACCTTCTTTGGGTCTGTCACTGGATCTAACCAACGCCTTTATCCACTGTGCCATGTGTCCTTGGAACATTCTGAAATTAGTGCTCTTTCAGGATATTTTCACCTTAACAAATTACCTTCTCTTTTAAAACTGCTTTCTTTTAGTCAAAATAATGGTCAGACCTGTTACGATGAACAACTAATGAATTGAGTGTATCCTTTTTGTGTTCATATACTTTTTTTTTAAATTCCTAGATGTTTGATGTTGAGGAATGAAAAGGTGTGTAGAAGAGTGAATCATCAGATAAACCATTATAAGGATGTGTTGACCAACCATAAAGAAGAGGAAGCTGAAGTGAAGTGGTATGGTCATGTAACCAGATTGTGAGGCCTCACCTATAAGAAATGGTAGAAGGAAGGAGATGCTAAACAAAGAGATAGGCAATATCAAATGGACTAGCAAAAGTTTTACCCAGGTGCTGGCCAATGACCAGATTAAGTAGAGGCTTCTTGTTGAGCAAGCCACCATACAGTGCCCCCTACAACCATAGTGGGTTATGGGACAAGAAGAACCACAGTATAGTTGAGTTGCTAACAGTTTCTTTTCTTGCACTTCTCACATGTGGAACTTCCTTCCGGCTCCATGCTTTCCAGCCAACTTAATCTGCAAAAATTTAAATACAATATCAATCACTATCTACTGCTCTTCTGATTACTCTTCTTCTGTACTCACTCCTTAGTAATGTTTCTGTTTTCTAATCCTTCCACACCTAGTAACCCCTTGTGTCTTATTGGTTTTACTGGCATGTTTGGAGTGAACTTCATTAAAAAACCCACATTACAGTTAATTGTGAACTTCATAATCTTTATAATTAAAATAGTTTAAAATATTCATTAAAAATCTCTCACTTCAGGAAAAAATGTGCACGGTTTTCAAATCAATGAGATTGCTGCATTGAAAGCCAAATTGGAATTATAGAAACGGCAAGTGAACATTGGGATTTTTTTAAAATGTTTCACATGTTGGCAGGAATTGTGGAAGACACACAATCTGAGCCTTCATTCACCAAGCTGTCCCAGTTTTCAAAAGTTTGAGCATTACTTTCCAACCAGAAAAGAACCCAGAACAGGGAAGGAATGGATCCACAATCCATTTGTGAACAAGCCAGGTGAATCAACTTAACCTTGATAGAAGATCAGCTGCTTGACATTGCAAGTGATAGTGCCCTTAATATATTTGAGACAACTTCAAAGCTCCTTGCATTCTTGATTAAAGTCAAGACAGAATATCCTGACAGGGCCACAAAAGCACTGCTTCCTTTTCCAGCATCATATCTTTGTGAAGCAAGGTTTTCTTCAGTGACAATAACCAAAACAAAACAACAAAGTAAGCTAGACATAAGGAACACACTTCAAGTGTCATTGTCACACATCACTCCCAAATGTGACCGTCTAGTTGCAAGGAAACAAGTTCAGGGCTCTCACTGATTCTAAATTATGGTGAGTTGATATTGATGGGATAACAGTGTAACAGGGATTGATTCAAGGAAATTAAGTACACAAGGGTGTGGTTGGGCTGGATGCCGGACATGAGTCAAAAGTCACTTTTTCTTCCCTTTAATAAATTGCTCTTTTTGTTCTCTTTATCAAAATGCACTTAAATTACACATATGTGTCACTATTGGTCTGCAGAAAGATTGTCTGGCATGAAGACGGTCCATGGTATAAAAAAGGTTGGAGACCACTGACTTAGAAAAATTAGGCATTAATATCATTTGTTGGATGAAATGAATTATATTTATTTATTTAAGCAATAGCTAATTGTTCCATTTCTCTGTGTAAATTTCCTATAACAGTTAGAGTCCCCTACTGAGAGATTGGCAAACTCTCTCTTATGAATACTCGAAGATGTTCTATTATTTTTTTTTAAGTTAAAATTGAAGCTAGTGAATGCCACTGTAGTAGCAACATGAGGGGAGAGGGGGGTTTCTGAATTGGTCTAACTCACTTCCCACCCCCTTATCTTAGTTTATGAATTGTCTTTGACCAGATTGAACTTCACACACTTAGCACTGAATTGGCATTGTATATTAAACATTTTAACACTCCAAATTGAGTTAAAAGATTGAAAATTTTTATTTCTATTAAGCATCACATAAATTAGTCCTTTAGAATTTTACAAAAATATCATAAAATACATAAAATTTCATGTAGTTTAAAAAAAAATAATACAGATTTGGGCGGAAAATCAAATTGAGATGTGTAAAGAGGCACAAGACAAGTTTTTTCCAGATTTTCATGATTTTAGGATTTTTTTTTTTTTTTTCAATTTTATGTTTCTTTTCTATGGGATTTTTTTTTCTTTTTACATGTGATATCAGCAACTTGTACAAAAAAACCTCACCCCAGATGTATAATTGTAACAACCTCACTTTTTTTTTCTCCTGTGTTCAATGTTGTTTCTAAATTCATTATTAGACAATGAATCACTTTATTTATACAAGATGAGGTTTGTTTAGTTAAGTATTTTTGAGAAGCAGTAACTGAAGATGAGCAGCCTTATGTAAAAACTTGCCACATGCAAAGTCAATTCTCCCATACAGAAAACAAAATTAATATTTTTTATCAAAATTGCATAAAAAGTCCACTAAAAAAGCCATTATTTGATTTTAAAATTCAAATACAAACTTCATTAAAAAACGGATCTATTTTTTAACTCTAAAAATGTTATCAAGCAGCTTTTTAAGTGTTCAAATGATGCATATGACTTACATCAATATTAAAAAAAGACAAAATCTCATTTTTTTTTTATTGATTCAGTAAATATCAATTGAAACAGCATCAATGATGTATGACATTGTTTATAAAATTTGTTTCTATGAAATTAGATTGAAAAGAATTGCATAAACTACTGTCAGATGAGCAGAAAATTAACTTGTAACTTTGAAAGCCAATTTTTTTCAGTGTGGGGAGGTGTTCGAAAAGAATGAGTAATTTTTTCTGACATATCTTGAACATTACAAGTATTTTGAACTTTTAGTTAACTTGACATTACTGCTGAAGTAAAACTTCAAGAGTATTTGAAATAAAAACTTGGAAATTAGTAGATGAATAAGATGAAAAGCTGGATAAAATTTAGTGTTTTTGGATGAATGTAATTAGCACTAATTTCATTTCTTTAATGCGAAACCATAAAAACTGAGTGACAATATCCAGGAGTGGCATTGCACTATGAAAGTGAGCCACTGGAAATGTTATAGTCTTAAAGTCCAATGTTCATTTTTTTAATTTTTTTTTTTTTTTAAGTGTTTAATAATCACTGGAGACAATTTCATTGGGGAATTACCACCTACATTACAAATGTTAAAAAAAAATTAAAAAATTGGTGAATGGATGATACAGCATTTTCAATTTTTCCACTTTTTGTTACCTATCAAGAAGTTTTACTTAAAATGTTTTAATAGTTTCTGAACCAAACATATTTTACAACAATGATTAATCATAGGAGAATAAAAATACATTATAAGGATTTCCATTAATGCATTTTTCTTATTTACCATCAAATATACAAGTGGTATTAATTTAAGCTTTTTTTTAAAAATACTAATAAAATTGCCAATACTAATGTACATGACATTTCAATTAGGCAGCAGATTTTCATAGATTTTTAGCAAATGTAATAATTTGATGAAAAGAGGTACAATAAAGAGTAAAAAGGACACTTTATAATGCTAGCTATATTTTGTATGAAGTTGGTTACAATTTCATGATCTTTAACTCTTAGATTTTGAAAATAATCTTCCTTTTTATCCTCCCCTCAACACTGGGAGGGGTGGTATTTTTGATATCCATAAGATTTATTAACTTTACCTAATATTTTATTTTATACTTTTTCTCAGAGAAATAGTGTGCAAATTAATATTACATACATTCATTAATGCTGTAATCTATTTTTAAAAAAATGTAATTACCATTAATTTGGATATGAGTTTCCAAAAGCTTCATTTTATGGATGTTTATTTAAAAAAAAAAAAAAAAAACTTTCTAGGATTCAGCCTTCAAAACTGCTTCCTAGCGAAATCTTACACCTAACCTGAAATAAATGAAAAGTGAAAGAAGATTTGAGCAGAAAATTTGTGCAGCAATAAATTAAAAAAAAAGTTACTTGCAAAGAAAGTTGCATGAAAAGGCAACTTACTCTGTGCTTAATAAATCTTCTTTTTTTTTTTTCTTTCATTTGGAAATTTTTGAAATAATGGTATTGGCCAAGTCCATATTTTCAGTCTTAGTCAAAACAATATCATAAGATTTCTTATATGTCTCAAGAGACTCATCAACCTGAAAAAGAAAGAAAATGTTTTCATATTACATTTTAATTAATTATTCATCATAAAATATGATAATAAGACTAATAAAATTTTTATAGCCTCTTTTTACAATCATGTTTAAAATGAATCATTAAAATATTGCAATTCATGTTTTGTTTTTTATTCATTAAATTAAGAATTAATCTTATGGACAGTTGGAATTTAAAGATTTAAGTAAGCATCCTGACCTTGAACAAATCTTTCTTACCAAGACTAGTCTATTAAGAAGTTCACAAAAGCCAAAATATACTTGCAACTAACTTGCTTGATATGGTGAATAAATTAGTTTCATTAGCAGAGTAAATCGTACTTAACTTGGGACTTAATTTATCAAGTAGTTATTGACTTAGCTTACTTTTGGCAAAAAAACACAAAGCATGCATTATCTAGTGAGGATTGAATTCATTACTATGCTGAGGTGCTCCTACATCAAGTATGTACATGTAAATGTATTCAGTATGGATAATAATAACAATAGTAGTTGATTGATCAATTTTAGGATATGTGAAGTGAATCTGTTTTAAACATACTCTGGACAGTTTAACATCTAATATTATTTCTAAAGAATTAATGGATGTTTTTTTTAATCTGACATTTTTATTACTTCAGACGTTATTTTTAGTGAATACATGTATTTGATATCTATCTATATTTTTGAGATGAGGTATTGTAACTATTTACACTATTTACATTTGTTGTCCTCATCTTTATTGCCATATTCAAACATTTTGGCTGTTGTATGTTCCAGTCTGCTTCAGGTGTTATATGTTGGGATTTTCAACAGAACCCTTTATTTTGTCCACCAGGGACACATGGCTCAGTGGGTAAAAGCGTTGGTTGAAGTAATCCAGTGGCTTGACCTAAAGAGTTCTGGGTTCAATACCTAGCCACAGCAGAAGTAAACAAAAACTTGGAGAGAAAGGGAAATAACTGAAACTGAGATATACAGAAAAGGCTTGGCACATGGAACAACAACAATCTATCCCAGTGGGCAAAATAAAAGATTCAGTTTGAAATTCCAATGCATAACACCTGAAGAAGGCCGAAGCATACAATAGCCGAAACGTTGAATATGACAATGAAGATGAGGACAATAGTCCAAACAATGTAAATAGTGTAAACATGTATTTGAGTAGGTGCTCAGTTTTATTTTACACTCAAGAAAACTTCTTAAAGAAAATGTGCCCCCAATGAAGGGGCAGATTTTCTTTAAGAAGATTCCTTGAGTGCACAGTACAGTAAACAAAATAAATACTGTTTAAAATAAAATGGAGCTTCTACTCAAATACAAGTATCCCCTAACAATAGCATTTGAAGTAATAAAAATGTAATGTTGTGAGGAGAGAGAAATAAACATAGAAGTCTAACCTTTTCATTCAAGTAGCCGATCTTAAGTTGAACTGAATTCTCTTCAACACCGTCAGCCATGCGTAGATCTCCCAAAGAATCTCCCATTAGAATGATGTTAGAACGTGCCTTCAATTGTTCAAAGTATTCAGACTTGTGAACAGCATTCTCATTCTTGTTGAACGTGTGAATGATGTTGCCCTCAAAGCCACTCATTAAATTCTGGATAAAGAAAATGTTGGGAGAGAAAGCTATACTATATATATATATATATATATATATATATATATATATATATATATATATATATACCAGACTATGAATAATGAAATAGTTAAAAAAAAAAAAAAAAACTATATTCTGAGTTTCATCCCTTGGAAAAAGTTTTATCAATGGAGTTTTAGAGAGAAGCATATTGCACATTGGGAAGAAATAGAACAACACCAGTTACAGTTTTACATCAAGAAATTTTTTTTTTAAGTATATCACCCCAAGCAAGGTGGGAGTGCCATGAGCATGCAAGGGGTTACAGAGAGTGAGAGCAAGAGTAAAGAGGGGTGTTTGGGGAAAGGATAAAGAGAAGGATGGGGATCAAGATCAAGGCATCAGAAGATATCAATTGACATTACATTTGAATATTTGAAGATTATAACCATCAGGGAAACAAGTAAGAGGAAGGGAGTTCCATTGTCGGGAAATGTGAGATAAGAAGCTGTTTGAGTAGAAGAAATGGCTACATTTTGACAGTGAAAGGGTGGGACTGAGATATCAAGCTAGTAGCATGCTTAAATTCATGCAGTTTGGGAATCAGTGAAAGCAGCTCATCAGAGCAGTTGCCATGAAAATACTTGTAGAAAAGACAGAGAGAAGCCACAGCATGTCTGTGAGAGAGTGACTGTAGATGAGATGCCAGATCAAGACCTATCACATTGCATATATATCTCTAGATTTTGTCAAGTAGCTTGAGATGAACAGCAGGGGCACCAGACCATATATGGCAGTAGTATTAAATGCAAGGATAAATGGTTGATTTGAAGGTTGAACTCAGGTGAGAAAAACCTTCTGGCACAACACAGAGAACCAACTTTCCTTGTGGTAGATGAAGCTACCAAAGATACATGGTTACTTAGCTTTAGATTCAAATTTATAAAGTCTCGGCATCTGATGTATCTAAATTCATGACAGTCAACCTGCTGATTGCTATTATTCTTAAATATCCTATATTATAATGGAAGTAGTTTTTGTTAGGAAAGGAGATGTATGAGGAAGATTCTGAAGATAGTGCCCTTTGAATACATGTTTGTCTTAATAAATTATTTTCTCATTTAATTAAAAACTGCATTCTTTAGGGCTGACAATAATTTTGACTTATTATGAATGAACAACTAATGCATCAAGCAATATTTTATAAAAGATCCCTTTTGTGTTCATATAATCTTTTAAGTTCCTATGTAGTTCAACTATGTATTTAGTCTATTTACATAAAAAACAATGAAATTTAATTACAAAACAAAATAACAATAACTTGAACCTGAAGCAGAAATTTATAAAATAAATATCCCAAGAAATAGATGAAACATCTAGGAATTTAAAAAAAAAAGTATATGAACACAAAAAGGATACACTCAATTCATTAGTTGTTCATCGTAACAGGTCTGACCATTATTTTGACTAAAAGAAAGCAGTTTTAAAAGAGAAGGTAATTTGTTAAGGTGAAAATATCCTGAAAGAGCACTAATTTCAGAATGTTCCACAGTAAATTTAAATCCAGCATCAGACGTCTCCTTTTCTAACAAAACTACTGCTATCACAATGTGGAGTATTTAAAAACAATAGCACTAGAAAGCTGAATGAGGTCAGCTCAGTTAGGCATCTAGATAACATTAGATGTAAAGAACTTTAATTGAAAGCTAAGGATCTCTATTCTCAGCGTTTCTCAATGTAAAACTGTAACCAGCATTTGTTGTATATTCCCCCACCCTACCCATATATCTAAGACTTCATCAATAAAACCATTATTAGTCTGAAGTCTGTCCAAAGAACAAAATGTGTAACTGAAATTTTCTTTAATTTTGTCACTCAAAGAAAGTGTTACAAATATTAAAACCATTGCCTATTTATGCATTCCAGAAATTTAAAAAGAAAAAGCATTTTTTATATTACAATTAGAAAAAACATTATGCTCATATTATATATATATATATATATATATATTATAGAAATTAACATTCTTAAAATTTCATATAAAACTTGGAGATTCTTCTGTTTTTAAATACTTTTAATTATTTTTTCCTCCAACTCTGTTAACCAGTTGGAATATGATTTTAATATTTACTTAAAAATGACAACTGTTTATGTTTATATTACAGTTACAGTTTATAAAACAAATAGCTAAAAACTTTCATTTGTTTTCAAGATTAAATGCTGGTGGAAGGGGAAAATAATTAGAATTCAAAGTGCTGACTGCATTTTAACCTTTAAACAAGGTTGTAGCCTTTATCATTGCTCACTATCTACCATGGCTCTATTGGTTAGCTGATAAAGAAAAAAGTGATTAAATATTGAAATTGATAATTTCTTACCAAACAATGATTATCTTTGGTCAAAATTTAATGCAAGTTACTAGCAGACTAAAGCTGCTGTTATATGTGTAACTTACTAATAATGGCAAATTGATTTTTAGACAAAGAATGTATATATGACCAATTAATTTTAGCTGTTTCTTTAACATTAATCAGAGATCAGATGGAAATCTCTAGACAAGGTTTTATTGTGCAGACAGAATTTAGTCATCTGATGCTGCAGTTTTGTATCAATCAGAAGAAAAAAACTTTGATCTTCTTTTGGATGAATTAATATTTCATTTTATCAGTACTATATACAGACTTTTTTGAGTTGAAAATAGAAACTGACACTGATTAGCATAAAAGACTAAAAGGAAAAAAATCCAAATTAGTAGAGAAGATGTTATGATAAGTTAGTCAAGAGAAAATACTCCCCTCACTGACTACTTAATTAAGTACATGTGAACATATGCCCTTTAATTCAGATTTCTAATCAGACATGGCAGCAATTTAATGCATATAGGCACTTAAACATGGTTGTGGTGACCTACTGAATTACATTTCATGCATTAGTATAGGAAAGAAAAGTGATTTAAGTGACTTTGAATGTAGCATGGTCATTGATTCCACACAGTATGCTACTCGGATTTTCATGCACAACCATATCTAGTGTTTACAGAGAAACACCAGAAAAAGAAAAAATTCTGTTCTGTTCTCTTGTTGATGAAAGAGGTTGGAGTAAAATAGTTCAAACTGATAGAAAGGCAACAGTAGCTAAAATAAATACTCTTTACAATGGTGGTCTAACAGAAGAGCATTTCTTAATGCATAAGACATGAAACAGATGGGCTACAACAGCAGAAAACCATCCCAGATACCATTCCTGTCAAATGAAAACTAGAAACCTAGACTAAAATTTGCTAAGGATCAAAAAATTAAACAATAGAAGATTGAAAAAAAAAAAAAAAACATATTCTCTTGGCATACATTAGGAACCAATAAAAGATTGTTTAAAAGCCATAGCCTAAATTTATGACTATGTTGCATGCATCCTCTTGTGGCCACTTTCAGCAAGACGTCTCATAAGTCATAAATAGTGGCAAATTAGTTCATGGAACAATAATTATTTTTCTGCATTAAAGTGGCCTTTACAGTTACTGGATATCAATCCCATAATGCACCTTTGAGATGTGGTGGAAAGGGAGATTCAAATTCCAGATGTGCAGCCAACCAATCTAGAAGAATTGTGTGATAACAATATAGACCGAAAGAGTGCTTCCAGGACATCGTCAAATCCATGCCAAAAAGAATCAAGGTAGTTCTAAAAGGCAAAAGAGTGCCTAAGCCAGAACTAGAAAAGTATACCTAATAATGTGACATACTGTATATAGAGATATATTGTGGTCTGGGTTGACTTTGAATGTCACTGATTAGTTTACTTCATATCATTTTCTTGAAACCTCTATTATGAACATAAAATATACACTGACTCCAATTTTGTGCAAATTGTTTCAGTCTTTTCACAATATATACACAGATTTTCAAAAAGAAAAATACGTACAAAAACAGAATAAATTTTAATACTAATTTTCATTATGTGTGATGAAGAGGGATAAGTACTGTATTCGAGTACAAGAGGAGAAATATATTGGGATAAGAAACTAATAGGTGGGTGTTGCATTACACAGAACTAATATAGCTATGAAGAACCTGCAATGTATATTTACTTTTCATGAATAGCTATTCTCACACAGCTGGCAATTAGTCTTAAATAGTGTAAACCCTCAGTTTTGGTTCTTCTTAAATAGTCAAGTCCAGAGTTTACACAGGCTCTTCAATTCTTAAAATAAGACATTGCTTAAAACTGAAAACTAATTATTTCTCCATCTTTTATGTATAATCAAGTATTATGTCATGCACACACATGCAATTTTTTATAGCTACAAAAACAGAAGATTGCATTATACATGAAATTGTATTATGAATAAATATGAGTAATTGAAGTTATACTTGTTCATCAAACTTCATGAAATTGGAAACAATCTTCATGTTGGAATAAACTTTAGACTTTTGCTCTAGAATTTCCCTGATGATATCCCCAAGACCTGCTGAGAAGATCAATAATGGAACATTATGTTGTTCTAGATTCTGGAACAAAATATCACAGCCATCTCTGAAAAATAAAATATATGTTTGTAAACATTCAATAAAACTTACACAAAGTAAGACTTTTATTGTTATCAATTGAAAAACAGTTTTAGAAGCTAAAAATGATTCGATAAAATAAGTAAGCAGATATTCATATTACCTGGATATTTTGGATTTTATAAATGAATACAGTAGCCACAATGTTCAAATTTTATTTGCACAATATTATGGATGGTTAAAATTTGAACAAGGCCTAAATTCCACTAATAAATTTCAATCTGAACAAGTTGATTAAAGAATAGAATAAATATCACAATAAGATCTTAAATAACTTTGCAGATATCAGGTATTTTTATCTTCAAATGTTTACTGCTGTCAGTCTCAGTGGGCAAGAGGAGGAATATATGAAAATGATGAAAAGTTAAGAAAAAGTGATGGCAAATAAACTGATCAGATCAAAATGTTCACAGGTGGGCCAATAATTTGTATGCAAGATGTAAGGTTGTTCTGTTGTAGTGTTTGTAGTAAATGTCCTCTAGCTATCCATCAACAGTTTTTTAAAAAAAGGTCTTCTTAGATTCACCTGAAGAATCTTTGTCTTCAGATTCTTTTGAACACTGAAATATTTGAAATAATTTTTTTCTGTATGAATTTCAACAATGTCATCATGTGTTGGTTTTATTTGATTTTCTTTTGTAAATAAGTGATTAACCTTAACTGCATGAATTATTTTCTCAAAGATGATTCTCAATGTTTCCAAAAAACATTAAACCTTTCAATGTATTTTCTTTTAAGTTATATTTTTTAAAAGGCACATTGTGTTTAAAGTTGTGTGATTGGGCCTTCTAAACATTGCTTCTGCTGCTGACTTAACCCTCAGTGATTTGGAGCTGTTTTATATAAAAAAGGAAATTGTAAGATTTCAACTTCCTTATAAGTGTTTGTAAAAGTATCCACAAATATTTCTGTTTTTCTAGTTGACTATGGATGATATGGAGTTGTGAACAGTTCAATAAAATTGATTTTGCAATATTTAGTAAATTCAACAGAAGTAAACAGTACTGTTATCTGAAATCTTAAGTATGTCAGACTTGAAAAATAAGTTATAAAATAAAAAAAAAAGCAAAACAATTTACAAAACAATGTGTATTCGCTATTTTGTCTATACCTAATATTTCTGTTCATTGTGACGTGCTTTAACTGCCAAAGTATATTTATTGAAACATGCCATAATTTATTATATTCCTTTGTCCATCCATAGATAAAGCTTCTCAGAAGGATGATAGAATATGCATGAAATTTAACACAAACATTGGTAAAGACTGTAGAACTAATACATTCTCAAAATATTAAAGAGTCATCAAAAACTGACTGACCACAAAAATGAGAATACTTATGATTTGTTTTTGCTTCTAGCCATTTTTAAATTGCACAAATTTTCTATTTTACCCTTTTCAAATTTTTCAGAATTATTATAGCTATGATAAATAAAATGTCAATATAATATGAATGTTTTGGATTGTCAATTCAAATATGATTGATTCAGTGATTACTTTGTAGTTTGCAATACATTTCATAATCACCATGACAATATTGTTTATTTTAAAGGAAGGTATTTAGACTTATAAACTTAGGTAAAAATCAGCAAACTCTTTAAAACAAAAACAGTAATAAAATAAATAGTTAAATTCTAAGAAGAATGTTAATTTGACCGATTTCTAAATTCAGAGCTTAACAAATGGTAATGAGGTGAAGAAAGATTCTAAAAGTTTCAAATGAAAAGAACAGAATTAAAATAAGAAACTACTTACCTAAGTCTTGCCGAAGACTCAGCAACCATCTTCTTTAAAGAATCCCTTGAAATTCTCAATCTCTCTAAATTTTTATGTGCTTCTGTCCACCTAAAAAAATATTCAGGATTGTACTTTTCAACTTTTTTAAAAGGTAAAATAAATTAAATATTCTAATAGCATGACTTCTATAAATAACAAAATAGGATTGAAATCAAATCAAAATTCATTTTCTTTCCTAAAGTTTTAAAAGTGCAATGTTATTGTTTTGTTTTATAGAATACCTTTGAGCTATAACAATGAAGTTGGATGGAATAATCAGAATAAAATAAAGAAAAATGCAAATAGAAAATTTTAATCCACATTTAGCAATTTAGAAGAGTTTTTATCCTCATCTGGACAAGTTTGCTTTGTTTTTTTCTTTTTTGTTAAAATTATTTTATTCTTTATTATTAAAAAAGATAAAAAGGCTATTTTTTTTCTCAATATAGTTATAATTTTAAAAATGAGTAACAAAATAATTGACAAAAATATTACTTCTTTAAACAACAGGAAGAAAGTCCCAAATTGGATGCAGGTATCAAAACTTTTGTTAATCACATGTTCTAATAGTAATTTGTACTGGAAATATATCCAATATATGTAAATATCTATGATAATTCATTTATATTGTTAGACAAAACCTTGAAGGCATAAATTGCACATTTAAGATGATGGAAAGCAAATTATTATAATTTTCCAGAGGCAGAGAATTGAGATTTTATATTTATCCTTTTGTACAGATAAAACAATAGTCATATATCTGAACACTTTTTTTTCCAAAGTTTTTATGCTGATAAACCAATTACCTCATCTAATTTTAATATAAGTAATAAAAATATAAGAAGAAGCGTGGTAGAGTAATGGATTGAAGAATTGGAAAGCCAAGTATGAATTTCAATTGTGTTCATTTCAAATGCCTTTGGGAAACATGAATCCATCTCTTCCTTCCCAGCTATGCATAAATAGCAGGATAGATTGGGCCCTATAACCTTGGTTGGCAACTATTCCAGGAGAAGGAAAACTCTGAATTCAAACCAGCCTGGAGAAGGTTCGACTCCATCAGTCTTTCTGGCTCATGAAACACCAGTGTTGCTACGGCTGCAATAAATGTGGTGCCCCTACAAACCTCAGGGTTACGAGATTTGTGATAAAGATATTATCACCCACACCCTCCAAGACGATGATGTTGAATGTTTTAGTATCTTTTATAAATGTTTTTAGTAGTATTAAAAATGTTAAGTGTCCATTCAAAGTATCGTGTGGTAAAATATCAGACTTAGGATGATAATTTTGAATTTTTAAAACTCTTTTCAACGTATACATACCATTCCACCATTTTGGGAATTTTTTGTTCAATTCCCAGGTTTGGGTCAATTTCTATTGGGTAATATATGTTCCGTAATTCTGCAGCCTGATAAGTCAAATGGAAATGAGATTTAAAAAGATTTATTAAATATTACAAAAATATAAATTTTACAATTGTTAATATTACTTATTCTTTGCTTTGCAATATTTCAGTGATCCTGCTTCACATCAGAGATGTCAATCATATTTGGTTTACGCTAAATTCAGGCTGCTATGTGGATTTAACTCATTGTGATTGTAGGTATATACTTTGAAATATTATCTGGTAGTAAATTATCTCTGTAGGGTTTATATTATAACAAAAAATGTGTGTGGATTATTCCAGTTAAAGGGTTTTATTAAAGCTATATGTAAGTGAAAATGTCACAAACCTTTTCTTTAACTGGTACAAAGACTTAATCCCAGTGTTAATGAGAGATTGTTATAAATTGTGATGAAAGAAAACATAAAACAAGACAAAATCCTTTCTACAAACCATAAAAAATATCTGATACCATCTTTCTGCAAATAAAGACCAAAACACCAAAGTGAAACATGCGGATCCTTGTTTTACTTTGTCTAAATCTCATTAAGGAAAGTATTCAATTTATATACAAATCGAGTATGAAATTATCTATGTATTAATATACTTATCTATCCTAAAGGTGTATAATAGTATTTTCAGAAAATTTTCTTTATAACAAATATTCAACTATAAACATATCTTATACTCTTACAAAATACATTAACTCTAATGTCAAAGTTATCCAAGTATCTGTTAATGATTTAATAGTTATAGAATAAGGACCACATTTTTAACAAGTTTAGACTATTATTATACAAATTATTCAAATTATTATTATCATCATTGTTGATTTTATCACTTTTCAGCTAATATACTCTTTAGCCTTCCTCTGCATGTCACCTGCTTCTTTTATATAAGTTTCAATTGACATTTTTTTGCTTCATTGGAAACTAAATTTCTAATAAAATTATGCACTTTTATAATAATGAAACTCCTTTCAAGATTTTCAATAATTTTCTTTTAATAGTATAAAAACCTTGTACTTACCTTCACCCGGAAATCTTCAGGCAGAAGTAAACTGTTATCAAGAATACCTAGAAAGAAAAATGTCTAGGTCATAAGGGTTAGTAAATAGTGAGAAATTCACAAACTAACATCAAACTACTTTCTCAAACCAGTTTCCAACACATTTTTGTGTGTATCCTTTCCTACTTTGTCAAGGTCTAATGAATCATTTTCTGTATGAATAAAAATCAAACCTTTTTTGTTTCACTGTATACTGGCTCAGATAATATTATGCTGTGTGAATATTCTATTGTCAATAACAGAAATGTGCAAACAATAAAGTGACTTTTGAAAAAAAAACTTCAGAGAAAGTGATGAGTGTGCACTACAAATGAAAGAAACACTTTTGAAAAGAATTAAGTCTTGGATACCAAAAATGATGCATCACCCATTCCATCTTTTTGGGTTTTTTTTCTTTATCATTAGACTTTCAGATAGGAAAGGATACCTCCTTAAAAAGGTAAGTTGAAACAATCATTTTTTTTACTCAAATTCAAGAAACAAAATCTAAATTAAAAATTATCTCCATCAATGCAGCTAGAATAGTACAGAAGTTAGTCATAGTTTTTTTTTTTTTTTTTACAGTTCTAGGAATTACACTAAGTTGCCATTTGTATTCTATGATTCAAAGGATTGATGATAAATACAATTTTAAGAAACTGTAACTAGTGTGGATTTTATAAGTATGATATTCAATACTTGGTAGCCAGTTGGAATGAGAGATAGCTTGATATGTTCATAAGCAAGCTAGGTAATTTGGATTTTACTAGCATACCAGAAATATGCTGGGATCTGTTTTGTCTACTTAAGTGGCATCTGCTATTTTGAACTAAGAGATAGTGAGATTTGAATATAAGATTTGACAAGAAAGAAGCCACGTGTTTGGATGCCATCTAAGATGAGAAACTCAAAAAAAAGTACAAGCTTAAAGAAAACAAGATTATCTTGAGGATATTGTTAAACGTTTCTAAAATGACGGTTGGAGAAATGAAATGACCAGGACTAGGAAACAGAATCCAGATGAAGACTAGATTAGACAAAAGCTGAACAAAGATTTCTTTCTGGAAAAAATGATAGATTGCTGTTTGTTGATCATTAATATTTTCTCTATCTGTGCAATGGTCAGATCATTATTTAGAAAATAGAAATGGATGGAAAATTGGAAACTGGGTGTTATATTCCATGCTTATAGGAATATATACTTAAAAAACAAGGTGGATAAAATAAGTAAAGGTTTATTGTAAAAACCAGTACAATAAGAATAAAGATAACAGTTATGCACAAGGTCGTCACAAGTCAATCCAGTAGTGAGTGTTACAATTGGAAGGTCAGTAGTTCTTGCATAAGTCTGAGTTGTACTCAACAGATCCCAGCTAGTCTCTGTAGTCCGTTGACTTGAGATACTTACAGGCAGTTACCACCTATAGTGTAGTAACTCATGGGGGTGACAGGTCATTCCATTACATCACTGGGAAAATTATAATTTGACCAGATAATGCTAATTGATTCAGAGCAGTGATTCTCAACGGGCATGCCGCAGCACACTAGTGTGATCCTCTTAAGTGTGCCCCAAAATATTGTCACGGCATACATATGTGTGTGTGTGTAATTAATAACAGTACAGCGTTAGTATTTGATTAAATGAATAAGTATTAAACTTTGCACATTCAACCAAACATTGAAGAAATTGGAAAAAACATCAGGCACAGGTTTCACACTAAATAAGCTGCACAAATAGTTGAATAGAAACATTGAAATAAAGTAAAATCATATTTGTGTGTGTATTTTTAAAAAATCTATGGTTATGACTTTACCATAAGAATGGTTGTAAGAGGTTTTTCAACCAATGGGTACATGGGAACTTGGAGCAGATGGCGATTTTAACAAAACTAAATTTGAAAAAGCTTGGAAAATTCAGGATTTTTGATAATAAATCATATTAACCCCAGCCCATCCATGTTGGGACACTTCATTATAAGCAGGTCATTTATAGTACTTGAAATAGTTGCAGCTGCTGTCATGGTCTGGTAGTCTGCAAATTGACATCCACACCCCACTTTTCCTACTACTCCACCTCCTCCCTTGCAAGTCACTGCCTGAGAAGTATTGGTCAAGTGAAGAAATTTTCCCCAGTTTAAGATGTTTTTGTTTGCAAGCTGATGATCAAGAGGAGAGTTGGAGACCAAATTTTGAAGAGAAACTTTCTCTGCAGGCCCGAGACCAAAGCTCCCTTATTGAATTGTTGAACTGACTATTAGTCTTGGGCCTTTTTGTTGCTTTTATATGTTGTCAATGATGCTACTAACTCAACAACTAGCCAGAGCTATGTGGACCACAGCACTGGGAAGGGTGAAACTGATAATTGTAACCTGCAACAAACTTTTTGTTATTGTTGTCTACAAACAAGAATCAGTTGTCTCTTCTGAAAGTTGCTTTTTTTATATTTCTCTTATAATTTGCCTTCTTCATTCCTGAGGACATTTCAACTAACTTTGCATAAGACTTTGTCAGATGAAAAACTTAAATACAATGTCAGTAAGGAAGACTGAGTGGTGGAATGAGACTCCTAGTACCAAGAGACGAGGACATAGCAACATAAACTTATAAATGAAAGCATGAAGTAAACATTGTTTAATTCGTATAATCTACAAATTCCAATATAGTCAACTATTTGAGCTGCGGTGATAACTAAAAGGAAATATTACTCATGTATGTGAGATTAGGCTTACATTGTAATTCTTAGAAATAATTTTGTTCCTTGTTTAGTAGTGTAATGATTAGTATTGAAAAATATTGAGAGTACAGTGCCCCAGTGAGCATAGAAGCTGAGATAAATAATTCCCCATGTTGGTTCAAGTTCTAATGTAGATGGAAGAGTGAATGTTATAAAGTTATCAAAAAGAAAAAGAAAAGAAAGGAGCAATTTGTATGTTAAAATTGACATACTTAAAAAAATAAAATGATCATTCTAATAATCAGAGAAACTAAAATTATTAAAGATTACACTTACTATGGCAGGAAGGACATGATTTATTGTTATAAGTGTGACTACTCAAAGTGTGATCAAAGTCAGATATAACCTGAAACAGAAAAATGCAGACATTGAAAAACTAGATAAATAATAAAAGAAAAAATATCTCAAATACACAATTCATATACAAGATGCGGCAGACATACCTCCCACATAATGGTAAGACATTAGTGACAATGGTGTCTTCATCTAGTTATTCTCTTACCACTATGTGGGAGGTGTTTCTGCTGTGCCCTGTATAAGTAAATACAAATATATAGGATCCATCTTGCTCCCAAAAGAAAGAAAAAAAACAAATTCATTTCAAACACTTCAGAAAACGAATAACAGAATATCATTTTTTATGTTATAATCAAAGAACATTAAATGTAGACCAAAACTTTGGTTACTGGATCTACTTTAAAAATATTATTTTGAATGTTACACAATACATTTAAATTTTTGCTTCTCTAAATGCTAACTTAATTTTGTTGAATATTGTAAAAGCTGAAGATCTGAAAAATATATCTTGCTCAAGAAAAGCTATCATACTGTTCAAGAATAGTGAATAATTTTCTAATCAAAGGAAATCCTTACTAAAAGAATGAATAATGCTTAAGTATCTGTAAAAAGGAAAATAAAAAATAAGCAGTTCTTACTTGTAATTTGCCGGGTCCATCAGAGATGAATTTTTTAATCACCTCATTTACCCTACTGATATCAGCAATATGAACATTTGAACTTGCTAACTCTGGTAACTGGAGAAAGAGAGAAACAGAGACAAAATAGAAAGCTAATTAATTGGAAGACTAAAAGGATTTGAAAATAACAAAAACTAACATACAATAATATGAACAATGAAAATACAGATTTTATTAATCAATTTTAAAATAATAATGTTAATGTGAAGAATAAATAATAAAAATAAGAATAATGGGTCTTAATATTTTGTGGGTTCAAAACATTTACATTAAATTATAACAGGAATAATTAAAAGAAATTGATCAAGCTGTCAAATTTAATCAAATGACGACAAAGGATAAAGATTTTTAAAAATATTTTTTCTACATTTTTCATTTCATGTTTTCAGAAAAAAAAAGTAAATATAAAATAAAAATTATATATATATATATATATATATATATATATATATATATATATATATATATAAAATAAAAATATATACAAATAAAGTTATAAATTTTTTAAAGTGCACACGAACTTCATGGACACCCTATATATATATATATATATATATATATATGAATGGAAGAGAGAGTGTGTAATTCTATGTTTTATAAATCTTATTAAAATATGACAAGCATAAGTTTCATGGTGGTCAAGAATATGATATAATCCATGTGTGTTTTGATTGAACTGATTGTCAGATGCTCCAAAGTACAGATGGATTATCTTGCATGTTTGATCACTGCAAACCTTTTCGTTATGTGTATATTTGTTATGCTTTCAGTAAGATCAAAAAAATATACCATTACTCTATGACTGTGCGTGAAACTATCCCCAGGATTGAACTTTGTTCAATAAAATCAATGAGAATCAGTATTGAATTGGAATTACACTTCGATTAAGTAATTTATTGTTTATATTGTTCACCACACAAAACATGCACAAGTGGGGGTGCAGAAAACTTCTCAGACTGACACATTCCACAAAATCTGATTCAATATTTGTGTTTCATTCTATATATATATATAAAACATTAAATCTCAACAAAGGAAAAAAATAAATAAACATTTCTGGAAGATAACAATTATAAGGTAAGCAATATTTGTAATTATAATGATATATCAAAAAATAGACTAATTAAAATAAATCAAATTTGTTCACTTATATTATGCTTGTCTCTACTTGAATTTTACAAAATTATATCCACTCTTCTGGAAGCTTGAAAAAAATTTTATCAAGTCTCCTGAAGTGTGGATGTAATTGCAATATCAGTGAAACTAAGAGTAAGGACAAGATAAGTGAACATTTAATATTACATGAGAGAGAGTGTAGACACTGGAATTAACACTGCATGGTGACTGTCAGTTTCATGCCTGAATGTAAACCTTCAGATCAAATTTTGATTTGATGATTGCAATGAGGCATGAAGCAAACATTCACCATGCAGTGTTGATTCCAATGTCTTCACTGTCTATACCTATTATACTATTTATAATAAGGATGAAGCTCAAGCTGTTGCCTTAGATATGTGCTTTGGATATCTCAAAGGCATTTGATAGGGTATGGCATGCTGGTCTTCTTCACAAGTTGAAGGCTTATGGTATTTTTTGATCAAATTTTCGATTTGATTCAATCCTTCTTATCAAATCATTAAATGAATGTTGTCTTGAATGGCCACTCTTTTAGATCATTTTACATTAATGGGGGTGTACTCCAGAGCTCTATCCTTAGACTTATTCCGTTCCTAATATTAATCACCGATCTTCCTGATGTGATCATTTCTCAACTTGGTATCTATGCCAATGACAACTGTTTACTCCTGTTTTAATGGTAAGTATGATAGATTTGATAAGATCAAATTGGCAGCAGATCTCAAAAATGATAGTCTTTTATTAACTGGGGCAAGAAATGGCTTGTTAATTTTAACACCTCCAAAATGAAACTGCTCTCCTTTAATCATATAAGAGAACTTTTTTTTGCCTTTCATCAGCAAAAAGAGAGAGAGAAACCCATTGCCACTTCTCAGTGTAACATTTTTCACTGTCATGATGTGGAACAATTATATTGAATCCATTGCTGGGTCTGCTGTATTATACTAGATAATTTTTCTCATCAGAAATCTTGCATCTTTAAAACTAACATTTGTCCATGCATCAAATATTGCTGCCACATCTGGTCTGGTCTGGTCTGGTGCTTCTATGTATTTAGAGATTTTTGATCCAAAGAAGAATCTGCTATGCCATCATGCCGGATCTCACATTTCTGATTCAGTCATTTTTCCAACATTGTGACACAGCTTCATTGTGCCTTTTCCATAAATACATTCATGGTAATTGTTCTGATGAGATTTCCTTTTTGGTACCTCAACTTCAGTGTGGTACCAGATTGGCAGCGAGGCATCAATTGTCATCTACTGTCGCCTTTTTTCAGTTCTTTTCACTCTCTGTAACTTCTTTCATCTTTGTGCCTTGCTTAGGGTGAAATGATTAAAAATATATTGAATTTTCTATTTGCTATATTCATAAGGAAAGAATTCCCTATGAATACGGCAAATAGAAAGCTTTACACACAGACACACACCTATGATGTTACTAATGAATAGATAACAGTATTATTTATTAAAAACAAACTTGCTATCACACAGCATCAGCTTAAAAGTAGCACTCAATGACACCTACTACATCAATCAAAATCAATTAATAAGAAAAAAAGAATAAGCATAATTGCCAGTTCATGCTGCTTGATCTTCAAGCAGTTATTTTTTGAAAAATGCGGCACGAAGCTAAAAATTGGTGTAGGTAATCATTATCCTGTCATTAAGTTAGTTTGTTGCATTCATTGACCCAATTATTCCTTATTAATCCTTTCACCATGACATCATATTTATTATTAAGCTTTCATGCAACAATCACTAAAAATCACATTCTATAGAAATTCTAATATTCATATTAACAAATCTGTAAGCGACCTGGAATTGCAAAGGAAATATTTGTCGCGGGATTACTTCCACAATGCAGAAAATAAAACACTGTAAGTTCAGACTCAAACATCAGGGGCATAAAGCAATGCTGAAAACTCGATTCACAGGTACTATCTCACAAAACACAATGCACGTAACCAGTCAGAAAAATAACTCACTATCCAACAAACGCGGTAGCCAAAAAAAAAATCCCCGAATTTTATTTTCTCTTTTGCTTTTATCAGCCGACCATTTTTTCATTCGTCAACAACTGGGAGAGGATGCTCAATTTTTGCATATCAAAATACTTTTATAGCGACTCCTGCGACTGACTTGTTTCTAAACTATTCTGTCTTTAGCATGTCATGTGGAATACATGCCCTTTTTTTTGGTAATTTTCTTTTTTACCACATTTTCCGTCGTAGGATACATGCGACACGCTGTTGTTTGACGAGGTAAGTCGCCGCTTTCTTTGCTATAAAATCATATGGGGAGGAGAATAAAACAAATAATTCATATTTTACAATTAAAAAATTCAGGTGATTTGAAATGCTATGAAAAATTATTTCCACTTAGAATCTATAAGTGTATGATCCCATTCCCATCCATTATTTAATATGGCAGAAAAAGCAAGCTAACTGGCCAAAAAATGAGGTGAAGAAATGTAAAATACATAATAACAAAACATTACTATTGTTATCATCTTTGTTGCTATCACAATGTTTCAGATGTTGTGCCTTTTGTCCTTCATTAGATGTATGTCAATCCAGGTGACCTACAGGGAATTCCAAACTGAATCTATTATTTAATCTATTGAGGTAGATTGTTCTCATTCCCTGCCCAAATCTAGGGATATCTTGTCTAATTCTTATTTTTAGTACTGCTCAGTTATTGCTCACCCTTTTTCCACCAAGTCCAAATACACAATGCCCAGCACAGGGATTGAACCTGCAATTACTATGCCACCAAATTCATAAACCAATGCTTTAAATCCACTAGGCTATTGTCCCAGGACAATAAACTATGTAGTATATTCAATAAGACTGCACAGTAGGCAAATGACCATGCAGTGAATGAAAGTGTGTTTGATAGATTCCTCAATATTACCACAACTCACATTCTGATGAAACCACCAATCCCACTGCAAAAAACATTTTGCCAACCCAGAACATATCAAATCACCAGCCTGGTGAGAAATAAATAATCCTGGTTTGGGTGTCTAAGGCCATTTTAAGCAATATTAGATCTTGATCAGGCCAAGCATCTTGATCAAATTGTCTTGTATGGCCCCATCTAATTAACTCTTGACATAATGGCTTTTTTGGAAATTGGCTAAGTGTCAGAGAGGCTAGTCTTTACACAGGAGAAGACTCTCAGAGCATGTACAAGTAACTCATTTTGGAGCAAATGTATGGATTCTCAAAACCAGAAATTTTTTCTTAGCAGAAGATTAAAATAATTCTAGTGTCGTGGTTCACACAGCAAATGTCTTCTCCCATATGTTTTTTTTTCATTTATATTGTTGCTGAAGGTTCTTTAATATCTGCAGTTGTTTCTTCTTCAAGATTTTTGTATTTATGGTTATAGGTATTGGAGGAAGAAGGTGGGAAATTTTGTGTGAAAGAGTGGATATAGGTGTCTTTGATATATGGATGGGAAAGACATCATTAATGGGTTGTTTTCTTGTCTTTTATTCGCAACTTATGAAGCAGAAGCCAGTTGAAACTTATTGCAGTTAATGTCTCTCAGCTAAACTCTTCACTAGTGAGAACCCCAGAACCACTACCCATAGGGTTATTCACTGAGAGAGGTGATACTTTTATTTTTTGGATATTGGATCTTAGAATAAATAGATTGTTGTCAAATATGACACTTATCATCATCACCACCACAACTCTCTCCTTGACCCTATCCACTTTCTGCTTTATATTGACAAACTAGCCTAGAAGCTGTCCTTTGAGGAGACTTTAAACTAGTTCCAGCAGAAGGGCTTTTGGGCCTTTTGCCTTCAGCATCCTATGTATGTAAAAGTTATAAGAATTTAGAAATAATAAAATTATTTATCTTTATTTGACATCTTAATTCAACATAATCTTTCCTTGTATAAGCAAC